TAATTTATCCCCTGGCAGTTGGAATATATCAGCATATCTCGCACAAATCTTTTCAATCTCTACTTGTTCTTCTAACGTCAAATGTTTTAAATTAAGCTGTCCTAATAAATTCTTTACTCTTTCTGCATTTTTAATACTTTCACCAAAGTAACAATAGTCATATTCATCAAGATCACGCAATTTCGGCTTTAGTCCACTTATTGTTATGTCTTCTTCGTTTGTGTTTAAAACTTGAACTGGTATCCTACCATTTATAGGTTTTACAATAGTGCTTGCTATGAATACTCCTTTGGTTATTTCTTCTGCACATATGACACAGTCATTTACTCGATCAGTTTGAATGTAATTAATTGATTCTGATCGTTTTTTAAAATTGTAACATGTTTGTACCAATGTATTACCATATTGTAAGGTTATTGTCTTATTTTGATTTATTGACAGGGTTATAGATTTGTTTCTATAATTTATTTGTGCTTTATGTTTATTTAAAAAATTATGACCTAAAATTCCAGCCGTAGGGCATGGTAATGAACTGAACACATACACTACTTGCTCTATTAATTCATTTCCTATTAGAATTTTCAACTTAGTAAATCCAATAGACTCTAAACTACCTCCAATGCCTTTAATATTCATTCTAGCTTTCGTTATTGGAATATTTCTTTCTCTAATATAACTGTATTTTACAGCTGAAATAGTTGCACCTGTGTCAATTAACCATGACCAATCTTGGTTATTTGTTTTTAGTTTAATTATGATTGAATTACCCCCAATTAATATATGATTAGTCCCGAAAAAACTGATTTTCGCTTAGTCCTCTATCTTCGCAGGGATTATTTTGTTCAGTTTCTTGTTCCTCTGCTAGCATGTGAACACCATGTTTTTGTGGTCTTCTGTAGAATCCCCTTTGGTGATTGTGGTACCCACCTGAATGGTTTCTTTTCTGCTGACTAACTCCTCTTGTAACCATACCTCCTCTATAGAATGTTTTCCTGTCGCCGTTATGGTATTGTTGGGAATATCCCTGTGACCTATAACGATTATCCTGATAATTTGGTTTATATCCTCTTCCGTAACGTCCTCTAAGGTGTCCTCTGGGTTGGTAGCCACCTTGGTATCTAAATCGAGGTTTATAGGAATTATACGTACCAATTATATCGGTAGTTGCTGTTGTTATTTCTTCATCCAACGCGGCTTGCACGGCATCCTTTAGCGAATCGAAGTTCCTAGATGCAATAATGAATCTTTTTATAGCCATTTTTTCATTTAAAGGTTTTAACACTTTATAACTGTTGGCATCGCCCTTTGATTGAGATATCGTAAGATCAACAAATAATTGCGATAATTCCTGGCCATAGTCATTTATCGTTTTATCATTTTGCCTTAATTGTTGTAATTTTGTTTGAATTGAATTTGCAGATTTTTGCGCAAGTAATTTACATTTCATATCCTGAATCAGTTCGCCTATAGTTGAATACGATTCATTTAATTTTAATTTACCTGCTTGAGACAGCCTACTCTTTAATACAAAATTTATTAGTTTTACTTTACAAGCAGCTTCAGATAAAGTAGAACCATAATATTCTATGTTATCAATTAATTGTTGGGTTACTGTTTCATCATCTGTCATTAACGGCAATAAGCCTAATGCTGTCTTTAAGCTAAAAGTTTCCATTTCTACAACCTCACACAATTTTTTGACTTCTTCATACAACTTTAAAAATTCTTTACTTAATTCGTTGATATTTTTCTCTGTGTCCTTGTCCGATTTACCTAGTTTTACTTGGTCACTAATGATCGCTAGGACAGAAGAAAAAGTTGAAAATAGCACATAACTTTCATCTGCTTTTTTAAGTAAAATTTCGCCTTTCCGTCTTTTCGGACCTAACTTTATTAAATAAGTTCTAACTTCTTTTAACTTAGCAATAAGTGATTTGATTTCATCTGCCATTTAACTAACACATTTTATTTCACTTAATATTATGAATACACAAAAAGGATAAGAAACTAATCATTAGACTACGTACTTACATAATAACGTTCTCTTATTGTCCTGATATCGTCGCGTTGCTCACAGGTTCACAACACTACACACTACCACTCACTACCACTCATTGTACGTAGAATCACGTTCCCACTCAATCTTCCAAATCCAGGATAGTCTTCCTTCGTATTGCAATGTCAGCTGGGCTACTGCAGTTGTCCCATCATGCAACTCGACATCCAGTGAGTTAGAAATCAAGCAGAATGACCGGCTATTTATCCGTTCTGGGCATAATAGATAATGTCCTTTCCTGCCTTCTATAAATGCTTCGACAATAGTTCTTCCCTGTTTTTTCCCTATTCGTATATCTTGGCACCTTAAATCATTAATTTGACTGAATATTTCCATGTACTGAGCTATCTCCTTCATATGCTGTTCCATACTTCTGTTTTTGTTTAAACACCAGCTTTGCTCAAGTCTATAACTTGGCTGCGCGCTCTTCTTTCAATCTTCTTATTGACAGATAAAATGCAGTATCGTATAAGTACGAAAGCAACTATCAGAACTATTGTCAATACGAATATACTCAAATAGAAATTTATATTTGCGATTCCCTGGGTGATCGACGTATTTTGCTCGATAGAGTTCGTCTTCCCGAATTGATTATAAATATCACTATGACTTGCAAGGGCAGCCGGAGGTCTAGGAGTACTGTATTGTTTTCCCATCTTAGAGATGAACACTGTTATTGTTTTAATGTTAAAAGACACTCGTCTAAATATGGATCGTTACCGGCGCCTATCCATATTAGTAATTGTAACCCGAACCTAAAGTGAGCCGCACTGGCAGGATCGCCATGTGATAGCGGTACGCGAGGAAGTAATTAAACACAAGAAGTTGGTTATAAGACTAACTTTATTTTTATTAATGGACCCCTTTTATAGTGATTAGGGTTTACAGGGATGATGTCATAGTACGGGTACATAGATGATGTCATAGGTTGTTGCCCCCTACGGTATGTAGGTTAGGCTTCAGGTTCAATCGTTTATACTTAGATACTATTACAACCTCAATTACCAAATATAGAACTATATCATATTAGGATCATGTTACAATATTAATATATATTATTCTTAGAACTATTGTTATCTTATACCTATTACTTATACCTATTACAGTGGAATGCCTTTGCTAGAGGGAGATAAATATACATCTTCAGTTACATCACAGGATAAGTAATAGTAAAACTACATTTTCATAAGATGGCCGCCACAAGATGGCGGGCGCCGGCGTCGAAAAAAATAAAATAAAAATAGGTTGTTTGGTGAACTTACGCATGAAATGACACATTTTTGTCTTTAACTTTTGGAGTATAATTTGTACATCGCCTGAACACACACGACGGCATGCTTTACTTATGTTTCGCACAGGTTTACACACACGATATAAATTAAAAACAAACGTAGCGTCGCGCGGCAGGTTGGTTGGTTACTAAGCGCGATGTTGTCAATTGCCTTCATTTCATGTTGTCATTTTAGAGCGCGGACAACGTATCTATAGATTTATACATCATTGATTTTTATCAACATACCACGCGGGCAAAAACTCGGGAGGAAGCTAGTAATAAACAAATAAATACTTTTTAATAAGATTGATAAGGGTTTCGGATTTTAAAGAATAGGGGAATAATGGGGCGATGGAAAAGTATATCTACTAATAAAGAAAGAGAGAAGCATAGTGTCAGTGATATTAAAAAAAAACTTAGAAAGTACCTACTTAAACCCCTATGATATAGGATTCATAGAGAAGGTGGGGTAGCTATGAAAGCTTGGTAATCTTGCACCTTAATAAGTTCGTCACTAGAATATTATGCACACAAGCGCAAAACAGAAAAATGCTGCGTCCGGACTACGCATCTTACACGATTAACTTCCCTGTTTATAATACGAGTGACGCTACAGAACCGAACAATAAAATTAGTATAGTGTGAATGGCATCTTAATAAATCTACCTCCATACGCAAACAGTAGCTACTGTTGTACCCAATCAATATATTGAGGAAATAACAAATAACGGACCAATACTAAAAGGTAGGAAATTAATTTAATAACAATCAAGTTAATAAAAATATAAGGTATTTTCAGCTACCACCCTAAGTTTAAAAAAAACAACTTTGCCCTACCGTAGGATTTTCTCGAGAGACAATCTCCGGTCACTATATACCGGCACGATTCTGTGGACGGCGAGTAAGGGTAGCTCGCCGCCCGACCAGAAGCAGACCCAGGCTGTGGGGTAAGCGCAATGAGGCACCAACCTCGGCCCAGAGCAGGAGAAGAAACGGGGGGGTTTTTAGTCAGTAAGAGTCTGACACAACCTATAAGTCATTTGATGATTTTCCCCACACAAAAAGAACCCTTGGATTTTCTCCTGTGTCGTGGGTGCTTTTACAAATATAAATTTCACATACACATCACGCCCAGACCCGGAACAACAATTGTTTCGTGCGGGAATCGAACCCGCTACACGTTGCGTCGCAGCCAGTTGCGCAGCCACCGCGCCAACCGTGTAGTTCATGTTAAGTTAATTAAACCGAATGGCGTGTTATTATTAGAGAGACATAGATGATGATGATGATGATCATAATGATCTAGCTCTCTAATTACAGTTTGTAGGTATGTGTATACAAATATCACATATTTGTGAAATTGTAAGTTTGTAAATGCATCCACGATGCAAGAGATGACGCGGAGCGGTGATATGATGCGGTGGCTGCGAACCGGCTGTCATGCAATGTGTCGCGGGTTCGATTTCCAAACGGAACAATTCTTTATGAGATCCACATATAGTTATTTCGGGTCTGTATATTTCTCAACGTGCTGACGACACAGAAGAAAACTATAGTGTTGGGCAATGTTTGAAAAAAGAGGACAGCCTAAAAAGGGTTGCGTCTTTAAAAATAAAGTTTAATAATAAACTTTTCATTTGTTATAATTACTTATAATTTATGAATACTTACAGCCAAGTAGTTCCTGTCCCTTTCCACCAAGTTGGCCAGCTTGTTTAGAAGGTAGCCGCGCTGGGAAGCGTCCATTTTCCTCCATGGGGAACCCAATCTGTTACGAAAAATTATTTATTTATTTTATCAGAATGTTAGATTAAGTTACATCACCGCCATGTGCTCAGGGAAGATGATCACTGGCGGCGATCAATCGCGTCCGGCCTTAGTCAAGGTCATGGTGCGGAGAGAAACTGGAGAGACGTCTCCTCTTTCAGCGAAGCAGTGATGCTTGCAAAGGAGGCTTGGTGCGGGGAAAAGAAAATGGGGATTTAGTCAATATGAGTCTGACACTCCCACTCACCATACCCTGGGTAAGAGAAGTCAAGATACGGTAGAATGTAGATCTAAGTAAGACAATTATTTACCGAAAGACGAAAGGTTTTAAAATTAAAGGCATTTTTGTGTAGATTAGAAAGGAAGAGGAACCAATTATAATAAATTTATATGACTTTACACATTGGCACTTAATCTGGCGTGCCTGTTTCTTGTACACCAATTCAGAGGGTATACCTATACATTTCTTACTACATATGCAAATACAATAGTGTGTGAGAGCCATGCTTCGGCACGAATCGGCCGACTCGACCGGAGTGGTACCATGGCCTCAAAGAACATTAGCGTAAAGCTACTATAGTGTTACGTTTTGCAGTGTCAGGTAACTGGAGTGGAGGCACAATCCTTCCCCTATGCCTCCTGAATCCCTAAATTTACGATGTAATCCGCAAATGGCCAATGACAATTGTCTGCTAGTTTTTTTTTTTTTTTTTACTTGCAATAAACTAGTGCTTGACTGCGATCCCACCTGATGGTAAGCAGTGATGCAATCGTTGATGGTAAGGCGCACTAGTTTATTAAGAGCCTATTCACTCTAGCCTTGAAGACACCTAAATTGTATTCGGACGGAAAGACTGCAGCCGGCAAACTGTTCCAATCCCTCGATGTACGCGGTATAAATGACGAGGCAAAACGCTTAGTCCGGGCCGCAGGTGTCTCAACAACGTAGGGGTGGATATTCGCCGTACGCCGGGATGTCCGAAAGTGAAATTGGGATGGCGGAATCAAATCGTGCAATTCCTGGGCACACTCTCCAAAATGCATCCTGTAGAAAACCGCAAGGCTGGCTACTCTGCGCCTGTGCTCGAGACTTTGAAGATTGGACCCAACCAAATCTGGATCACCAATCAGCCTCTTTGCACGCCTTTCCACTGAATCCAAAGCCGCTAGGTGGCATTTTGCAGCACCAGCCCATATGTGGCTGCAGTACTCCACACATGATCGGACCTGAGCTTTATACAACGTAACATAAGCTGACTCGGTGTGAAGTACCGTCGGACTTTTGCAAGAACGCCGAGTTTTCTAGCAGCTACTTTGGCTCTGGACTCAATGAACCGCCCAAAGTTGAGGTCTGAAGCAATGTCCATTCCCAAGTGCTAAAGGCGGTCGGTGCACTCCAGGGATACATCCCGAAAAGCAGGTGCCAAGGTTAACGAGCTCCTTTTGGCGGTGAATAGTTTACAGATCCATCACAGAAAAAAACAAAGAAACAAAATGTTTAAACATAAAATACATTTTTTTTTGTAATAGATTGGCAAACGAGCAGACGGATTACCTGATGGTAAGTAATCAGCGCCGCCCATGGACACCCGCAACGTAGGAGTTACGAGTGCGTTGTCGACCTTTTAGGGATTAGGGATTTGGAGATTTAGCGATTGAGGAGGGATTGGGGGTGGGGAAGGATTGGGTATTCCGGTAATCTCACTCACACGGCGAAACACAAGGCTGTGGTTGTTTCACGCCGGTTTTCTTTGAGGCCGTGGTATCACTCTGGTCGAGCCGACCCATTCGTGCCGAAGCATGGCTCTCCCACACTTACATGTATGAAATTAATTGTTCTTAAACTTATATTTAAATATACATACTTAAAGGCATCTTTGGCAGCTTTCACAGCAATATCAACATCAGCCTTGCTGGCTTGCTGAACATCAGCGATGGGTTGGCCAGTGGCAGGGTTCTCAGTCTTGAAAGTCTTCCCATCTGATGACTTCACCCATTCATTGTTGATGAACAGCTAAAATATAAATGACTTTAGTAAACAACATTTCTTAGAGAAAGGTTTAAAATGGGAAATTGGTGGAATAAGTGTAATAAAAATATTTTGTATATTTTTGTAATGTTAACAAAGTAACGGACATAGGAAATTAATTTTATTCAAATTTAATTATTATATTTTTTATTCAAATTTAAGTTGGGTTTTTTACTTTGTAAAATTCATTTTAGATTTTTTTCAGAATGATCTATTCTCATTAGTTTTTTTTTGCAAAAATGCTTGCAGAGAAATAATTAAGAAATCAAACAAACAACTCAAAATATTTATTTATTTATTTTAATAGTATGGTACAAAGCCAACTTTAAAGAAATATTTTTACTAGTTTTTAATAAAATTTATTATAATTAAAACAAGTTATTCATTTCTAGGTGTGAATTGGAAAAATTATTTAAAAAGATGAATATTATATTATGGATAATCATGCAAAAATTGAAAATACTAATATAAAATAAAAACACAATGACTTGCATTTTTTATTATTATTTTTGTATAAAAACACTGAAGTATTTTACTACAATTATAAGTTTCTATTTATATTATAATTTTTTTTAGATGTAAATATATAATAAAATATAATATATAATACATAATGAAATTGTTGGAGAGCATAATTTACATCTAATTAATCAATAGAAAAATATAACACTTGATCATGCCATAACCTTGAACATATCTCAGTTACATATATATGGTACTAGAGCCGGCACTGCGACCTTGGCGTTCTTACAAATGATAAAAAAATATTGCTCCACAAACATTATACCTAATTAAAATGTTCAATGAAACAAAAACAAAATATATATATTAAAAACTCCCTCGTCAATATTATTTAGACTAAATTATCATATAAATCTAAACTATTTACATACGTTCAAAGCAAATATTTATATTGTTGATTTGGATAATATTATGTATTGTTATACATAATTGGACATACCCCGGTGTAAAGAATCTCAGGCTTTGTTTGAGGTGCCGGTACAGCTGTGGCGAATCTCGCCTTTTGCTGAATATTTCTGCTTATTTGTCGTAACATCTTGTTTCAATATACGTGTAAATTACTTTAAAATCAACCCGCAACTGGCACGATTCCAAGTTCCCGCGCGGCTGACAGTGACAGAATATTTACACTTAATTTGACAGGTGAACCGCATCTGGCAATACATCGGTAAAATCATGTCACTGCTCTATTTGTTTAGTCGATTAACAGCCATGTCAATCATTTTAATGGTAACACCAGTTTTTAATATGTCATTGTCATTGTCAGTCGTCAGAATGATTTTTGACATTTCCATGTAAAATTGTTGTTGACGTTTGACGATGAAACACAAACTTTGAAATAGTTTGGCTCTAGAAATTAAAATTAAAGAATAATAATGGACAGAACTAGGCGAAAATCATCAATTTATCATGACGTTTGTAAAGATATTGATATAAAAATTTTGCGAATACTTGTGTCTATTGATGATCAAATCACAAAAAACTTAAGAGATGGTAAAGTTGTTACAAGGTAAGTTGAACTTTGAACATTATTTGAGATCCGGGTGTTTTATTAAAGTAAATTTCTTTTAATATTTATGAATTCACTAAAGGATGTTTAAAACTTTGTTCTAGGCCTTCAAGTACAAATGGATTATGGAGTTGTTTCCTATTACCAGCAGTGCTTGTGTTATACTCAATACTTTACAATGTGTCTGAATTATACGTTTTGTTGGCTTACGTATCGATTGGACTAGTGTCCTACAGTTTATTATTTATTGTTTTTTTATCTGTATCTTGCTTGATATTGGAAGAAAATATTTATGGGGGATGCACAGCATCAAGTCTGGTTTCAGCATTATTATTGTATGCAGTGCAGGGACAAGGTAAGTAGTGTATAAATCATCTTTTAAGATTTAGAATAAAAATAATACTAAATTACTTTATTTATTTAAATAATTCACAATTATTTTCAGATTTAATGTTCTCTCTGATATGGTCAACCATAGCAGTAATGTCATACAGTTCTCTCTTGAGAATAGCCCTCACAGTATACCCTAAAACATTTACAATAGGAGAAGCTATGATTGTGACACAGAGTATAGTGCTTTTTGGTATAACAGCTGTTAACAAGTATTTCTACAACATTGGTGAAGAAGAAGATATGGAAATGAAATTCATTAATGATGTTATCTTAGTAAGTATGTAATTATCTTGAGATTGGATTGATTTGTTGATTAATCAATTAGTATTGCTAAGTCATAGCTTTAAGATATGATGGAAGTTAAAATTTTCATCTTGGTAAAGTACTAATTTTCCTTCTGAAAAATGTAAACTAGGATATGACCAATCAAAATGGTCTTTAGCTTTTTATGAGATAGTATCGCAAACAAGCAGACTGATTACATGACCTGACGGCAAGCAATAGATAACACCTATGGATATATGCAACACCAGAGAAGTTAAGAGTGTGTGGCTGGAACATTTATATTCTGTGAAGCAGTGGCTAGTAATTAGTAGGTAGTTAGTGGTTGGTTATCAGTCTAGTCGAGTTGACCCATTTATATCAAAATATGGCTACACACACTTATTTACTAGTAGAATTTTAATACAACCATTATCTAGCTCATATTTATATGTGTTTGTATTTAAATATGTGTTGTAAATCAGCAGACAGTAGCCGAGAAGCATACTACTAATTATGCAAAAGCCACAAACTTAAAAACTGTACAAATTAGGCCATCATTGCCTTTTGAATTAATATCTTTCTTTACTGAGCTAATCATTATTTTGTATCTTTTCAGACAATATTATCGGCTGTTGCAATTATTGTTGCAGCATTATGTATTTTGGATGAAACACAAAAAACAATGTCTGTGTTTTACTATATCATCAGTGTGGCTGGAACCTATGTATTAATGATGTTACATGTTAAAGTTGGAGTTGATTGTATTGTAAGATTAGCTGAATATGTTCTGCTGGATGTGGACAGAGTAAGTATTTTACTTCTAGTCTCAAAACTAGTTTTTATAAAAGACAATTTAAATTTCTTATAATGTTCTATAGGGTTAGATAATATATGTAAACCGAATATTGAATTGCCAATCACCTATTAAATTCTTTTGTTAGATACCATACATCATACTGGAAATAAGATTTGAAAAACATGATTATCATGATGATTTTCGACATTTGATAGTCACAACTATAATAGAAGAGACATAGTCTAATAAAAGTTTTAGAACTAAAGCATAAGCGATTTTATATGATACTTCTTTGTTGTAATTAATCACATAACAATTTTTTTTCAGTTAAAATTATTCTTGTTCTGGCTCAGTTGTGTAGTTGTGTCAGCCTGTGTAGTACTAGTCCGCACTCATCTCAACGTGAAAGCTAGTACAGTGACGCGCAAGACATTTCATATACTTGGCTCATTGGTATTCCTGTCTGGCATACTGTACAACATTCGATTAATGACATTAGCTGCTGGATTCGGATTTGGGCTTATAATAGTAGTTGAGGTAAGATACGAAAAACTGATCTGACATAATATGAATTGTACCTTATTCTTTGGTAGACAGAGTTGGATAGCTTGTGCGAAATTTCGTTGCTTGGATTCCCGCAGGAAGTAACTCTTTGTGTCATCTACAATTTGTTGTTTTAAGTGTGTGATTGTGTATTTGTTAATACACCCAAAGCACAAGAGAAAAGCAGTGTTACTTTTGGTGCCCAAAACGCAACAATAAAAAACACGAAACATAAAAATACTTTTAAAAATTTTTAAACAGTATTTTTTATACTTTACAGGCACTTAGGAAATCCGGGATAGAGCCGATTTCATCTGCACTTCAGGCTGCATTTAATGTGTACAGTGATGAGAAGGTTTGTAACTGTAAATTTATTTTATCATTTTCAACCTTATTTGCTTTAGACACAGTTCAAAATCATTTGAATGAAATAAACTAAAATTCACAAATTAAGAAACTTAAGATCCTAGAGCGAGTTTAGCAGAGCAATTAGTTTAGCATTAGCACGATCAACGTATTTATGATGTTCCTCGCTCTAATTGGCTGGCTCAAAGTGAATCAACCAATCAGATGGCTAAACGAGGTGACGTTTCAAACTCGCACTACACGCACACAAACACACACAAATGAAATAATAATAGTTTTTGTTAAGTAGCCTAATTTTCTTAATATAAGTAATTGAATTATTTGTTTCAGGATGTAGGCAGTTTCGCAATGACTCCAATCTACCTCTACGTAGGGCTGGCCTGCCCCCTAATATTGGTTCCAGTACATCCAGGGTACGAGTTGGAACTGCTTAGCGGTGTGTTATCCATAGGAGTGGGGGATACTGCTGCAAGTTGGTTCGGTTCCAAGTTCGGTGTGAACAAATGGGGTGGTAAGTTCTCTATAAAACAGATATAGTTAGTGTGTGTTTGTTCTCTATTTGTTTTTGTGTGTGAAAATACTATGCAAGCCACGCACATGAGCATACGAGCACGGCGAGCAAATGTCCGGAGGAACATCTTAGAATGAACAACTAGGGAATCATGACCTTCAGTAATAAGTGTGGAAGAGCCATACTTTTATGCTTCATGCGAGCATGCCGCACGGTACGAATGGGTTAGCCCGACCGGACCGATAAAACAGCGGTCACAGAAAACCGGCGTGAAGCAATACTTACGTTATGTTTTGCCGTGTGAGTGAGGTTACCGGAGGGCCAATCCTTCCCCCATCGGATATTTGGGTAGTTTCGTAAATCAAAAATAAATTAATTCGATATTTCAATACAATAAAATATTGAAAAATAACTATACTTTTATTCATCGATCGATCGATACACTAAGTTTTAGATTTTTTAGCTAATTATCGTGAAATAAGTAAGCTATTTGACGCAAAAATATTATGACGTCATAGCGCAGTTTTTCATACAAATTTCATAGAAAAGTATCTTTTTTGACGTTTGGATAAAAGTATTGAATTGGACTAGTTGGAAGCTACCGTATTCTCAAATCCTATCCTGAAGTCCCTAATAACCCATAAGTTCTTTGGTAAAACGATTGTCCATGGGCGGCGATGATTGTTTACCTTCAGGTCATTTGCCGATCTATGACATAAAAAACAAATAAGGAAAAACATCGGATACGCACACTAAAATACTTTAAAAAATATTGTCTCAAATAACAATTACAAAAAGGATTGAACTGGAAACGTCTAGTATCGTAAAAAAATATTGTCTCAAATAACAATTACACAAAGGATTGAACTGGAAACGTCTAGTATCGTAAATAAAAACGAGTATTGATTACGTGATATATTGTTTCTTCTAAAATATTTATTTTCATTTCAGATGGACCTAAAACGTATGAAGGGACAGCATTTAATATTCTCTCCCAAGTTGCGGTGATTTACGCGATTGAAGTTTTTGGTAAGTATTTTACTAATGGCAACATCAGCTTCAGTACTGTCTAGGGTTGCGAGTGCACGACTATAATGTAATCTAGCGCTCCTCCCTAATCTGGATTTCTGGGCACTTTTCTGGTTTAGCTTAGGGATAATACGTTTCTGATTAAGGGCTTGTCTACCGAGAAAGTAGAAAACTCTATGTATGGGAATGGCACTGACATTGCAGCAATGTCACATTGTGTTTTATATGTCGTTAGACAAGCGCTTACATTCCATTTGGATCATTAAACTGTTTTGTTCAAGCCTCTTCATGAAAGACTTATTAGAGGCGATCCCGACCAGAACTAAAGTCGAGAGCACATTAAAGCGTCACCTGATCACACCAGATTGGGCCTAATAGGGCTAATGTCCAGTTAGGGTTGCGGATGCAAGCGCAATAATGTACTGTCGCAGTCCCGGCCCGGAGTAAAAAAAAAGAATGAAAAAAAAAGGAATAAAAAGAAGGGGGTGGTTTTTAGTCAATAACGGTCCCTCTCACCTCGCCCTGGGCGAGAGAAGTCATGATTTTCCTATAATAAAAAAACCCTGACATGCCGGAGCAGAAAGAAGGTTTTTAAGCAAAGAGAATCTGATGTGCCTCCACCCAGGGCTGAAGAAGGCATTTGATGACGTTCTCTCATTTTTTTTTCCTAACGGTGAAATTGTTTATTTACAGGTCTATTGAGCGTAAATAATGCCATGACACGTGTGGCGATTGCTGCGGCGGTGTCAGGAGTGGTCGAAGCCAAAATAGACCAAGTAGACAACTTAATATTGCCATTAGTTACCCTGATCGCATTCCAAACCACCTATGCATTTTGTTAAATTCAATGAGTAACTATTTAAAAAAATTAAACTAAAAAAATGCCATAAGTACCTTTATTTTTATTGAGAAAAGGAAAATGAGATTTACCTATTTTATTACCTATCTATATTTTTCGGAAATTTTGTATCTGTATGTATTTTCGAGTTGATTTATTTTAATAAGTTGTTATTGTACTTATTTATGTATGTTGAGACAAATCGGTAGATATTTTATATTTTTATACAAGCGTGGGTAGCAACGACATTGTTGTATTTTTGTAAATACTGTTGAGATTTTAATACATTCCTATATTACCAAAGAGTAAAGTTATTTGTAAATAAGAAAAAAAAAATATTTTTATAAATAAATTATTTATTTTATCATAATCGGTGTTTCATTCTTTATCAAAATTATAAATTGGTAGTTTTACAAGCATTGTTCATACATAGTTTTCCTTTTGTTCACTTCAAGAGTTATTGTTTCAACATTACTAAGATTAAATTAAATAACATACATTGAGGAATGACTGAACTGTACTTATGTATTATATATATCACAAAAAATACATCAATTTATTGAAAATAGGTAGTTTTTGCCAGTTATTTCACGTAAGTCGTTATTTTCAATAATGTATGGGGGAAAAACCCAGGCCCTGCAAATGAAATGTATCTAGTATATCTGCTAATACTATTAGTAGCAGCGCGACAGTCGCAGAGTCGCGTGTCGCGGAATGCTGCTCATGAATATGGGCCTCTAGCATGGCTTGAAACTAGTCGAGTATCTCGTCAATTATTACGTAAGTAAGCCGAAAACATAATAAATTATTTAGAATGTCTCACGAAAGTTATAATAAAAATTTATCTCAGATTTTACGCATTACCAAAAATTTCTTTTTAATTTTTTTTTCTCTACTCTTGTTCTATAAAATAAATGACATTTAGGCATCTACATTTTGTCCATATACCTACATATTTTCTTTAAATAGTTCTATTTTTGAAAATTACTTTCACTAAAAAAGGAATTAGCAAAATATTACGTTAAAAGACGAATTTTTGGCTATTTTTTTAGTATGGAACTACTATTTGAGACTGTTTGCGCCGGGGTGGTTTTTTTTTTAGCATTATCCTTTAGTATGTCTCCATGATAGTTTCTATTTAAGAAAATCCATCTTTAATTTAAAAAAAATATTTTTTTCTGTTGTTTTCACTAATTTCCTTTATCATTTTCACTATTTTCCTTCATCCTATCTTTAGTTTGTCCATAGATTATAATAAACCAAACAGTTTGGTAATGTACACTATTTTTTTTATTATTTATCAGCACACTGGCCATTTACACTTACATCTGCAGGTTCAGGCTTAACTTCTACATCACCATTTTGTTCTTCCTTAATTTCTAGCTTTATTATTTTCGTTTTATCATCACTAATTCCATTTTCCGAGTTAATTTCTGTACTGTTACGTTTATTTTTAATTAAAATTCGTTTTTTCTTGACACCTTTGCATTTTGCTTTGTATCTTTTGTCTAATGATAAAACATCGCGTCTATCGATTGTCCAGTCTATGATAGCTGTATCAGCCCTTTTTATAGGGTTGTCATCTTCATTGTATGTTGGTATATCTATGTTGAGAATGTTCATTACTTTTTCTAGTACATCATCAACATAGTAATTGATTATGAGATCTGCTTTGTTATCCTGAAAGGTAATGGCTTCGTTATTAAGCAGAATATATTTAGTACTCATTATTATTTAGTGTCATAAAAGGAAAGATATTCTTTAAATAGTAGAGTACTCACATGTTTTGTTGGTTGTAAATTACAAATGACTAGTTTGCCATCATACTTTACAGTCTCCAATGGCAGGTTGCCACTGGGAACTATCTGAAGAGTTGTTCCTAAGCATATACTTAAATCTGCAATACTGAAACAAATAAAAGTTACTATTAGAAAGGGCTCTAACATTTTTTAATAGAACAGAGGTTCTACCACTAAGTATTAAAGCGTCAATTTTCGGGGCGTCAATTGTCTAAAAAAAAAGCATAAAGCGTGAATTTTCGGAGCGAGGAAGAGGGCTGGAGCTATACACCTTTTATAGCTCCATTCCTCTTTCTCGGAAGATTTACGCTTTAAAACGTTATGGTGGGCCTACAGGTCTTTCAAATTTGTTCTTATCTCCTTCTAATTTATCAAAGCAGTTAATTATGAATAAAATAAAAATTCGCGTAACAAGTAAAATACATGGTTTTATTTTGATGTGATCTGAATTAAGGGCACATTTTTCAATGGTCAGATAAGTATAGTTATCTGAGGAAAAAAATTGTTGCTGTTACAAACATTCTGATGCAACAGCATCATAATTATTCCCCAGATAACTATTGAAAAATAGCATCTAACCATTAAAAAAGCCAATAAAACCATATTACCTAGAATGCCACTCTGCCATTGTGAGATCATTTTCCGGCAGGCTGTGTTCCCAGTCCAGGACTCCATCATACAAGCGTCCCCTGCATGGTCTACCTGTCACATGTTCCGCTGCACATGGCACTCCACTGCACTTCTTACCCACTGTCTCAACTGGACTACTTCGCACAAATTGCCTGAAAATATTGAAAGTAAGTTAAGACAAGAGATTAATTCATTATACGTTGATATAGTCTTGAAAGCATGAACCTTATGAATACATAGTGCTTTCAGTTAGAACAAAATTAAATATAGGAAAAACATGTATCCCAGTCACATCTAATTATTTTATAGTTAGTCCTGAGCTAAAACTTAATACAGTATATAATAACAGTAACACAGTACAAAAATATTTAGTGCTAATAAGACTTGAATTCCTACATATTACTTTAAAAGTAAATGTACATAAAAAAATATACAAACCTTTTACACAAATTACATTCATCAATAAACATATTGCCATGTAATTCAGCCAAATACTTTCTAGAGAGGCCTGACTTTAAATGCAGACCATCAATGTTCTGGCTGACGACATAATGTACTTTGTTACACTCTACTAGCTTCTTCAATATCATATGTGTCTTTGTTGGAACTGCATCAGCAAAGGAAATGTTCGTTGTTGGCCTTTTACCCTCTTTTTCTAATGTCCACACTCCATTGGGTCCTCTGGAATATTTTGTGATACATATTAGGTATAAGAAGTACTACATTAAGTCACATAGGTAATAGACATTTTAGGCTAGTCTTTATTGCAAATACAACTTCAAATATACTTACATCTAAATAATTTAGTTGTTAACCTTTAAATCATGGTAATTATTCACTTTAGTTTGGGGTGTGATGAATTAATACAGTTTAAAGAAAGAGAAATTTATAAAAAAAAAATATTTTCATCAATGAAACTTTGATTTTATTTTAAATAGCAACTTATTTACCTAAAATCTGGTATTCCTGCTGATGTACTGATGCCTGCCCCTGTGTGTACCACCACATGCTTTGCTTGGTTTATTAGTTGAGCTAAAAGTTCACATTTCTTGTTAAACTTCTCTATGGAGTCAAATTTCTGGAAATTAAACACAAGGAAAAAAATGTTATTCACACATTCATTGATTTTATCCTATCAATAAAATAAAATATCAATAATTAATCGCAAGAAAATTTCCGAATATGTTAAATAATTACCGTAGTTTTTAATACATACCTCTGGAACTCCGAGGATTCCTTTATTTTCATACGGAGACAAGCCGTCGGCGTAATTACAAGACATAGTGTATTAATAAAACACAAATCTTTGATTTAATTGAAAATATTTTGTTCAGTTTACATTACAAAATAGAACACAAACATTTTGAGAATTTTGACAATTGTTTGATGTTGACAAAAAATAATACAATTGACCTGCGTTCCTGATTTCGCAAATTCGCATTAATTGTTCCCTCACACAGTAATTTATAAATATTTCTTAGCTAAAAGTACAGAACAAAATTAGATTAAATTAATATAATAATAATTGGATTATTATCACTAATTTCTGGAAAAAGTACTTAAATATGACTAATCGACTAAATAATTCAAGTAATACAAGGGAAAGATGATGACAGTAAAGTGGGGACAACTCTAATGTCAACTTCGATTTCAATCGTCGTCGTTCATTGACTTGTTTGTTGGCGTTTTCATTTAATTAAAACAGCTCAAAATACAGCTACAGGAATATTTCTCGTGCTTTTTAATTTCCAATAATGAATCGTAGAAGGGCCCATGATGATGAAGATGGATACGGTATGCTATAACATTTGTTTTTAACATTTTATAGGTTAGACTATCGGTTTGATGACCCTTCGTTAACTTTTGTTTTAGAGCGTCTCAATCGCAAAAGACGTCGTGTATCGGAGAATCAGGAGATTGAGGATAGGCTTGAGTCTCTGATCTTGAGAGTTGGAGAAAAAAGCAGCTCAAGCTTAGAGAGTAATTTAGAAGGTCTGGCAAGTGTCCTAGAAGCAGATTTGAGTACGTTCAGAGTGAAAATCTTACGTATCCTTACCGACTGTGCTATTCGTATGCCGGAGAAATGCACTATATATGCTACGCTGGTTGGTCTTCTGAACGCCAAGAACTATAATTTTGGTGGAGAATTTGTTGATTACATAGTTAAAACATTCAAGGAAAACTTGAAGACTGGCAAATGGAATGCCGCGAGATATTGTCTCAGGTTTATTGCTGACTTAGTAAACTGCCATGTGCTGGCAGCTTCCTCCCTGTTGACATTGCTGGAAACATTAGTGGACTGTGCTAATGAAGATGGAGTGCCCCAAGTGAGGAGGGATTGGTTTGTGTTTGCTGTATTATCTGCATTGCCCTGGGTTGGCAGAGAACTCTATGAGAAGAAGGAATCTCAACTAGATCACTTATTAACTACTATTGATATATTTTTGAATAAACGCAGTAAGAAACACTGGCCGGCTCTTAAGGTATGGTCCACTGACACTCCTCATCTGCAAGAAGAGTATTTAGATTGCTTGTGGGCTCAAATAAAAAAGTTAAAACAAGATAACTGGTCAGAGAAACACATCCCAAGGCCTTACCTTGCCTTTGACTCAATTTTGTGCGAAGCCCTACAACACACCCTGCCAGCTATACAGGTAATAGTTACACTAATATCATACTATCAAGAATGTTACTTGCAACAATGTTTTGAAGTTAATTCAGTTTTTATTTATTTACTACTATTTTATAATGATGTATTATTCATTTATGGTTATTATTTTCCAGCCTCCACCTCACAATGACACAGATACCTATCCTATGCCGAGGGTTATATTCCGTATGTTTGACTACACAGACTGTCCCGATGGCCCAGTACTGCCAGGAGCGCATTCTATCGAGAGATTCCTTATTGAGGAACATCTTCATAATATCCTGGAAGCATACCACTTGGAACGCAAGGAATGTGCAGCACAGCTTCTCTGTTTTCCATACAAAGCAAAGATTCCTCTGGAATACTGTATTGTAGAGATAATCTTTGCTGAATTGTTTAACCTACCAAGACCTAGATACTTGGAGATTTGCTACGGATCTATCTTAATAGAACTCTGTAAGCTTCAGCCTTCTACAATGCCACAAGTATTGGCTCAGGCAACGGAAATATTGTTCATGAGGATTGATACAATGAATGTTGCTTGCTTTGATAGGTAGGTTGACATTATTATAAGGATGTTTATCTAATTAGAACAATGAATTTAGAATGGACTTTGTGGTGCCCAATAAAATCTAATTAGTTTTGTGGTTAACTGTTGATAAGTAATACAAATTAGTTGTTCACACTAAATATCTTACCTGGTGACTAAAAATTTAATACAACATATAATGCAACTGCACCTTAAAGGATACTTTTAGAATTTTTGTTCTCAATTTAAATGCACAATTGACATGGTGGCTGGCCAACCAGACTGCCCAACGACATGTCACGGGTTCGATTCTCGTACAGAGCTTTTAGTGTGATCCACAGTTTGTGTATAATGTGTATGTGAAGTTGTTATCCTTAAAGAGGGCCATATTACGTAAAAATAAAACATTTTCTTGAAGAGTGTTGTGAATGAATATGTTTAACTTTCAGGTTTGTCAACTGGTTCTCTTACCACTTGAGCAACTTCCAGTACAGATGGTCTTGGGAGGACTGGGAAGCATGCACCCAGCTGGACATGGATCATCCTAAACCTAGATTTGTTCGGGAAGTCCTTGGAAAATGTCTGAGGTATGACTCAAAATTATGATTAATTTATTTGTATACTTTGTCTTGGAACTTGTCTGAATCAAGATTTTTTATTTGCCATTGTTTAAATATAACTAAAGTTGAAACTTTGAGTTACAACTGTGTTTTTCTTCTTGTAGGTTGTCATACCATCAAAGAATAAAGGAAATGGTCCCAGAATCATTTGCAGCATTTGTTCCTTTAAAACCGGAACCTATTTACAAGTACTCCATGGAAGGAGCAGGTAAGAAAAACAATCAAAATAAACATATTTATAAAAATGTATTATACAAAAATATTATTAAACTTAATTTAAACTTATTAAACTTAAATATTTACATTTCAGTAGCACAGGACATAGGTTTCGTGCAAGTTTAGTACAATCGTTTTTTGATATCTTAGAAAACTGAAAGTCCTTGTAATAAAAAATATACTTTTTTACCATTAAGGATTCCTATTTTGATAACTGTATTGTATTTTCTCGAGAACAAGAGTTTCCAGTGAGTCTTGGTAGTAAATGCTTTTAAATTATTTGTATCATAACACTTCACATTTAACAAATAGCTTTCATTGGTCACTGCCAGTGCTCAGAGATCAATGACAGACGGCATTTAAAGCTACAACACTGAGTATGAGTATTAAGTATCAGACATTCAGTCTATTCCATAGCCATTAGCTCTAGTAAGCTTAACGGCCTGTCTTTACTTTCTTGTGCTTCTTCATAATAGTCCTCATTGTTTCTACTAGTATCTACATTTTCTTCATCAATATTAAAAGGTGAATCTTCATCTTCGTCTTCTTCTTCATATTCTTCTGAATTATTGCTGTTTGTGATATCACTAGGTTTTTCTTCTAGGGAATACAAGAACTCTTCTAGGTCGTCGTCGAGGTGAACGTATTGTTCATGGTTCTCGCTTTGGCTTTGTTTCTGTTCCTCCTGTGTTGTCGTTAAACGTTCCGTAGTAGATGTTTCAGTAACATCGTCCATCGTAAATCCTCCGAACAGTTCGTTCAACACATCTTCTGTTGTTGTCTTCTCTGTGCTCTTAGGTGTGGTACTCATCGTGAGTTTCTCTGGGCTATTCGTGACCACTGTTTCACTGGATGATTTCAAAGCTTCAGTAGTAAGGTTATTATGTTTCTTCTTTTTGCATTTTGTTTTGTTCTTTGAAACGGAATATGGTGATGCAACAGATGTCAATTCAGTGGTAGTTGATTGATATCCTACATCTGATTTGGTTTCCTTTGTCATGGACGTAGTGGAAAAGATGTATTCAGTTTCATCTTTAAGTTCTCTCTGTTCTGTGTAGTTGTCTGAATCACCTACTGCGTCATGGGCGTATTCTTGATCTTCGTATGTACCTTGAAAGGTTGGTTTCGTTTTAACCTCAATGTCCTGCTCTGTTTGTTCTGTTGTGGAGTTGATTTCTGTTAGATTCTTAGGATTAACAAAGCCATAATCCTTGTGATCATCTTTTTTCTTATCGACATCAGGAGTTTTGGCAGTGCTCGCAGGAATGTATCCTTGGAATTTAGAAGCTTTTCTTCTTGCTGGATTTTGTAAGAATGATTGATTCGTTCGATTCTTATCTAGAGACGTACTTGCTGACCATTTGTCGTGATTCACCGATGTGCCCTTGTGCATCAATGTGGATTGTCTGAAACGGTTTTTACTCTTCGGTTGCGTGGTTGCAACCGGTTGTTCGGTGTCCACGGCGGTGCTCGATGCTGTCGTTGTAGATGTTGTGGTAAGACTGGCGGAAGTCAGTTTTACGGTCGTCGTAGTTCGTGGCGCTGTGCTTGTTGTAGTCGGACTTGATGTGCTTGTTGTACTTTGTGCCTTGTGTGTTTTGATGTCGCGGATAGAATTTGCTCCGCTAGTTGCGGCGGAACTTGCTTGTGGTGTCAAATCATCAGATGGTTTCTTGGTAGGAAACGTTCGTGTTGGCTTAGCTGTCGTTGTTGTTGTTGTTGTGGTTGTGGTTGTAGTAATGCGCTTGTGTTTTTTAGTTTTTTCTTGTTTGTTGAATTTTGGTGGCGGACGTGTTCGCTTCTTAGGTTTAGGGGCGGGTGTAGTTGTAGTGGTGGTCGTAGTTGTTGTAGTTGTTGTCGGACTCACCTCTTCAACGGAGTTCTCATTTGCTTCCGTAGATTCTTCAGTTAATGTTGTTGACAAAGGTGTTGTTGTCGTAATTGCCTCACTATTTTCCTTAGTACCTTTTTCTCTTTGCGAAGCCATTGGAGTAGTTTTTGTGAAAGCTCCCAAAATATTGGCCCATTCTAATGAAGTATCCTCCATTGTCATACTTTGAGCAGTTATTATGTCTGGTGATACCGTAGTTAGGCGACCAGGTTTTATATGTTCATGCTTTTTCGGTGGTTTCTTTGCTGCGTTTGATTTAAATACGTTCTTGTCATTCTTTTTACCATTATCGTGATCTTTAATGCGAGTGTAGTTCATGTTTATTGGTCTAAACGCACTATCGGCAGATAAATCAAGTTCGGAGAATTGAGTATCTAGTACTTGGGGGCTTGGACGAAAATCTGGAAGTGTGTGTTTCTGTGGTTTGTTTGAATGGTTATACTTTAGGGGTGGCATCGGTTTGAAAGGTTTCTTGTCCATGGTGACGAAAACACCAGGCGGCGCGTTGTAAACGGGTGGCCTTATGTGATCTGTTACATAGCTTATCTTAACTGGCGACGGTTTTGTGTTAGAATATATTTTGTAAGTAGTTGCTACATCAGGCACTTTCGTTGTGTATTCGGTAGCGTTAAACTTAGTCTTGACAGGAAATTCAATGGTCGGTTCCTTCTGAAGCGGATGATTAGTGATAGGTGTTGGCAGCACTGCGGGTCTAGTTGTCTTAACTATGTTTGACGGAACAAATCTGTTATCTGTTTGAGGTGGGACATATGGGAAGTTAACGCCTGTGTCTGTGTACGGGTGCTGCATATACGACACGGGCGGTGGTGGCACCGGCGCGTGCCCAAGTCTGTATGGCACGGGATAAGGCAGTTTCTTTTGGTGGTAGGGTTCTCTGTCATCCAAAAAACCGACTTTTGAGTGCTGTGGGTACACATTAGGCATGTATGTTTTTTGTGTCTTAGCCTTGTGCCTGAACAAAGGTGCATCTTCGTAACTGTCTTCATCAGAGAACAAAGATGAAAATAATCGGTCCAAGCCGCGTCCGTACGCTTGTGGTCGTCTTAGGGCAGGATTTATGTTTCTATGAACCCATATAGCACGTTGAGGTCTTCCTACATAACGGTGGCTTCCCATTTCTTGATGTCGGGCTTGGGGGCGTTCGGTAGGTGCGTTTTCCTTAATAGTGAAAGTTCTTACTGGGTTTTCATAAGGCTTTTTCACTTTTTTGTTTGTTTGTGACGTCACTGAAAATGTTAGTTCGTAACTGTATTTTCCAGACCTCCCATCAGTTTGTCTCATCCGCTTTACTGACCAATAAGCTTTGACGTCTTTCGAACAATCGCTATCACTACAGTTCTTCCACAATACATTATCTTCTATAAACTTGTAACCATCTTGATCTTCTACCAATCTACCTTTAGACAATAACGCTACATCGGAAGGAGGAATAGGTTCCTCCTTCAGTCTTTCAAAGCGAGCTGTTTTGATTTTCTCCCAAAGGTCGTGGTCATCTATTTCTTTGGCCATCTGGTTTTCTGGTTTGTTAGTTGGCGATATGTAGTCACCCTGGGCGATCAACTGGTCTATTTTATCTCTAACTAGGGTAAGGTATACGCTGTGCCTTAACGCATCTTCCCAATAATGCGCGGGCACTGCTGTCTGCGGTGCCTCAGTCTTGATGATCTCCTGCAGTGTGCCTGCCACATCCTGCTTGTCGCTTGGCCAGTCGCTGAGCGGGATCGGTGTGGGCTTGAAGTGATCTTCATTTTCGGCACAACTTCCGTCTCTCGCCACCTGGAAAGCGAACAATGATCTTTAAATAAACATGAAGCTACCAATCAAACGCACATTAATTACGCTCGACGACGACGATTCATTAGAATTGTATTTTGCGAAAAAAATGTGGATATTTCAGTATGCGTTTGAAAGTAAAATGGCGGTGGGCGGGAAAGTGCGCTGGAGACGTTGGCGTGTTACAAATCGGTTGCGTGCCGGACGATCCAACCCCTCCGCGATGAGTTTCCAATTGAATAATTTCTGTGCAGAACAATCCATTTGGCTTGAATCTTACTGCATGTATTATTCTATTGCTAATTATATTTTCATACAGTAGATATAAAACCATTGTTTTTTGGTATGAAATCATTCAATTGATCAAAATATTGTTTTTACATATTAATACTTTATCAAAAATCAATGTTTAAATTGAACTAAAAAGCCTGACAATAGAACAAACAGCTCGATTTAGTGCTAGGTATTAAAATGCATCAATAGCAAGCATTTTTTGTAAAACAATCGTTTATCAGCTTCACAATCATATTGTGCGTGAGATTTCATAACTACAAGATGATCTTTATCTGGAGTTTAGCAATTTCTTTGTATCCTCTAACAATAAACGCTTGTACGGATTATAAATGGCTTCTCAGCTTGATCTAGACCTAAATACGCGTTTACCGTGGCGATATGTTTTATTGTAATCTATAAATGCTTTTACTGAATTCTTGAGTAATAGACTGCATGATATGCGTGATTTTCATTTTTATTTGTAAATGAAAAATTATTTCTTACGTCAGCTTTTCGTTACGAATCTTAGACGTATAGTTTATTGTTTTTTTTTTTTTGAGGACGAGGATAGAGTTTGACTCATACTGACTAAGAACCACCCTGTGCCTTGAAACCGTGTTAGGTCTGTAAAACTCTTACTACCGTAAAACGGAGTGAATAGAATTTGAGGGGTTTAATAGATACTCAAAAGGAGTAAATATATGTTGGCGAATTATCCTATAAGTTATGCGCCTAGTATCTATTCATCCCTCTTCTGTGTCCATTCACCCCGGTGGATCGGGATGCGGATGCAAGCGTAATGATGAGCGAAAGGAACGGGTTGGGTTTTAGTCTGTAAGAATTTGACACTCCCTATGGTTTGGGAGAAGAAGTTTGATGACTTTCGCCCCTCAAAATAAGGGTATTAAGTACAAACACAAAAATGTTCCGCAGCCCCGCTCCGAAGCCCGAGCAGGAGAAGGCACGGGGTGGTTTTTAATTACCCTTCCCCTTGCCTAGCCTAGGGTGGGAGAAGTAGAATGCTATGTCTTCCTAAAAAAACCGTGGTATATTTAGCCTTTATGTTACAACACAGGTGATAAGATTATCACACCTATTAAAAGTCAATAATATTCTTACTGCATGTAACGCATTTAAGTAGCTATTTTATTTAAAATATAATATATTACGAAAGTTATTAAAATGTATTTATTTATCCATTCATTCTTTAAGCTTCGCAGCGATAAATTTGTTACACATATATAAAATTATCATGCATGATCTTAATATTATCATAATATTTATTTAAAGAAAGTCTAAAATACTCGAATTTTAGTGCTTTTAAAGTTATCGGATATTGCATAAGACATGTTTTTCTGTTTTAGCCAGTTTATGGTAAGTCTGCGTAAAACCGTTAGATCTAGAATTAATTACGTATGCTAATCAGATAATAGAATGTCTAAATATAGGTGTTACGTGTTGATACTTGACGCATTACTAACTTAACCTACCTCAATCTATTTTAATATATTAAACCGTAAACGAACGCCGGTGTTCGCGCACCAATTATCTTATTATTATGTCCCGAATTATCATTCGTCTAAAGTATTTTGCTGATATTGACACTATTCAGGTTTCATTTTGAACATATAGTTTGCACAAAACGGTATTTCTCACTTTCATCATAACGAACATTAATAAAAAGCATGGTATAGTCGAAACACCACTTCGTCATCTTTACAGGCAAGAGTAGTGTGATAAAAATATGTAAGATATATAAAACAAGGTTCTTTTACCAAATACTAGCTACAATTACTATCATAAACTCCTTAAAAAAGAAGAATATCTTAAAAAAAACACAAGAGGTTTATTTGTTTACCATTAAATACATTTGTATCCTCATATTGACTAGGTACTATAAATGCAATCGCTAGACAAAACAGTCAGATCTTGTGCCATTGGCCAAAATAGCTTCTAAGCAAAAATCTCAGCCAACCATAACCTACCATTTTTCATGTCTGCTCCCAAAATGGGGTCAAGACCGACTAATCAGATTAATGCACCAAATTATTTAATTAACCGCCGCGGCTCTACATTTATGAGACTTTAATGTCAATATACACTCGAAAGAACAAAAGTGTACAAAAAATTCCCATTAGGGTTCCCAGGCGCGAGCATTGTGTCCATGGCGCTATTTTGTACAAGTATTTTAATTAAACATTATTATTGTGGCCAATGAAGTCACTGCTTACTTTATTTTTTTATTAGAAACCAGATACTGCTCCCCGGTTCCACCCGCTGTTTCATTTGAACTTAGCGTGATGTTTTATAGCCTATAGCATTTAGAAACATTGTAGCTATCTATCAGTGAAAGAATTTTAGCAATCCGATCAGCGGTTCCAAAGATTACCCCCAACATACAAACTTACAAATTTTACCTCTTTATAGTATTAGTATAGAAGTATAAACAAAATGCTGTTTTACGGTAAAAAATTATAGCATTTAGAATATACTCGCATTTAGGTACAAATATACTTACATACGTACCTCTTAATTACATTCCAATCTTATAAAATATTTTATTTATTTTGTATTTCAAACCGCCTTAGCCTCGCAATGTGATTTTCTCACGTGTTGTGGGTGAAATACAAACATACAATTTCACACATCAATCTCAGTCCCCGAATAAGAATTTGTGGATCACACTAAAGACCCGCATGTAAAAGGAGCCAATCAGGCACATTTCCAAAATCTGTGCTAATATTGTCAAAAATTGCAATTATTCCTTGTATAGTGCCATCTTGGATTGTTTATTATCTATCATTCATTATATAATTACGGATGGATGGATAATGATTAGAATCGGTCGTCGGTTACAATTTAGACTTATAATTGTCTACTTTGAGTTTGTTATTGATGATGTACATATTTTATACTTGTTACAAAAATTAAACAATGGAATCCCGACTATACTATAACATACTAGCTGCCCGCTCCTGCTTCGCACGGGTCCAACTATCTCGCTATCAAAGGGTCACTTTTTCCCAATTTTCCCCTCTACTTTTCTAATATTTTCTTTGATAAGAACATTCTCCTGACAATAAGAAACATAACAAAAAAAGAATTAGCAAAATTGGTTCAGGCGTTGTTGAGTTATGCGCTTACCAACACATTTTGGAATCCATTTTTATATATAAGAAGATTACTGTACCTTTCGTTCCTATGTGAAATGTATTATAATAATAATTGATTCATTTTCTCAAGATATTAATAATTGACGTTCATTTCGCGGTTTACATGTTACGTGCATAACATCTTTACAATGTTCCGCAGATTCTTTACAAATACGTTCGGTTTTCACAACATATTGTGGAAAATCGTAATTACATTTTTTTTTTATGTGATAGGACGGCAAACCTGCAGACGGATTTCCTGATGGTAAGCAATCGGCGTCGCCCATGGACACCCGCAACAAAGGAGTTACGAGTGCGTTGCCGACCTTTTAAGGATTGGGATTTTGGGGATTTAGGGATTGGGAAGGATTGGGCCTCCGGTAACCTCACTCACACGGCGAAACGCAACGTTGTGGTTGTTTCACGCTGGTTTTCTGTGAGGCCGTGGTATCACTCCGGTCGAGCCGACCCATTCGTGCCGAAGCATGGCTCTCCCACGCGTATCATCAAAAGTCCGTGTCGGTAGACACAGATGAAATGTGGGACTTCTTTGATGATTAACATGTTAAACGCTATGGGTGACAACATGTGGGCCAAGCTAGCGGAGAATTTACCCTCAACAGTAATCTGTCGGCAGTGAATGACTTAAAGATGATTTATCATAATCCCTGCGTTTGATTTGCGAGTTAAAGCTATAGTCAAAACAAGTTTAAGAGTTTATAAGACAACACTACTCAAACGACAACGAGGAACAGATAAAACGTAGAAAGTGTATGGTTCTTTCTTTTGAAGGTTCCTTTAAGGTTCTTTTGACGGTGTGGAAAATATAAGTGCATAAGTGTGGAAAAGCCATGCTTCGGCACAAACGCTGCTGAGCCAAACGAAGTGATACCACAGCCTCGCAGGAAACCGGTGTGAAACAACGTTTGTGTTTCGACTTGTGACTTACCTAACCCCATATTCCTAAATTAGTGATTTGGACCCCGAAAAGCCGGCAACGAACCGATTGCTTATTCTAATTATTAAGTGACCCGCTCTTTCGATTGAGCCCTTTTCTATTAAACGCACAACTAGAAATCGATTAGTTTGTTAGTCGATATAATCACAGTTTTTTAACGCAGAAATCGTGGATAGTGTCAGATGCGGTGCTCTACTTCACGTGAGAGAATCACATCTCGTAACAATGTAGATTCAAAGGTCATTGTCTTATTATTGTATAATTTGTTTAATAGATAATCATATTGTTATTATAAATTCGTATTTTGGATATGTTTAGTACTTCGTAGGATATTTTTCTTCTCTTTTATTTATTTAAGAGAGAAAATATGAATTGGTTATTGTCTTTCCTTAATGGCTATTTGTGTTATTGTTTAATGAATAAACAGGTGTTTAGGCAAAACAAGTTTTATGACAACTATCACTAGACAATAAGGGTCAGGATCCGGATCAGGTGTTAAGTCAATATTGTGATTATAAAATTAATAATATGGAGGATTATTTCCTTCCCTTAACTACCCCACCACCATTATAAGTAAGAACCTAGACTTCGTACTAAATAACTACTTTTGTTCTAAGCAATTATAGATATTTGTTTTCAGTAAATACTATGGCTCTGTAAAAAGGTTTGCACCTACATAAAAAAGCTAATTAAAACTTAACATAGCTGATATTACAATTAATATGTTTTTATGTCAACTTCATAGAATGTCTGCTATTTCCTGCACCCCAATTAAAACATGGTTACGTAATAAAATATAAGATTAATTTAGGTGACTCAAATATGCGTTAATTGATTTTTTGTTCACAAAAATGTAGTTTATAGGTGCTAACGATCTTATCTGTATTGATCTAAGTATTTTTATAAATTCCTCTGACCGTATAATTATTACTTTAAGTTGCCATCTATAGATGGCATCTATTAGAATTTATTAGTAAAAAATGCTGTAATTACAGCCAGTGAAAATCAGTAGCGTCACATCGTATCGTCGCGTTTTGGTCAATTAATTCGTCGGATTGTTGGCTAGTTTCTAATCTAAAAGCATTTTTAAGACTGTCAGCTGGTGACTATTATCTTAATAAGTTTATATCTTTTTTTATATTGTGTCCTAAGCTAGATTTTTGGATCATGTACATATATTCGACAACTATAACTCCTTTTATCTAGTATTTACTGTAAAGACTAAGCAAAATTAGCACTGAAATGCTTTCAAGTTGATGAGGTCAGTAAATTTAAATTTACCCTAAAATACTATTAAATCAAATATACTATAAAAATATTCACTGTCTCAGGGGCTGTCCACCCTCAGTCCTTGACTAGGGTTATTATCATTTACATAATTACTTTACACTTTATAAAAGCTAGAAAATTATTGTATTTAATCAAATAAATAAACTTCAGTTTTATTTAAAAGCTTCTGGTAATAAACATTTACCATTTTATTTGAATAAGTTCACAAAACTACCTAAATAAAAAAAATAAGTATGAAATATTTGAGATACTTACAACTAAAGCTATGAAAACGCATATTAATGCGGATCTCATATTGTTTCACTATATCACGACACTGCACGTTTGTTTCACTGTACCGACGAGCACGGGTGTTGCGCGGGCGCATTGGCGGCGTCCACTGGCGTGCGAGTTCCACGTTCAAACGCGCCTCGCATCCCACCCGAATCACTATAATATGTCTTTCACTGATTATTGTTGTAATGTACACAGAATTCCGTTTAAATTTTTCATCCAAGTATAATATATTTTTGTAGATTATATTACTATTTTTAATTCCTTCTCAATTCGTTTTTTCGAATACTAGCTTGGATTCAATTGATTTGAAGGCGATATTCTTTCTCCTGACCTTAAAGAAGTTTTGGTTGACGTGTTTATCAAATGAGGATTAATGTTAGTTTTTGTTTCGAGCGACTTGCCTCTGAACTCCATAACTTGCTAGTTGGTTGTGCTTATATTTTATGTTTATTTTATTGCACAAATATAACTCGTGATACGAGCCTGATGCTATATAATATGTACAAGTTGATCCTAGGAGATCTAGGACAGGGCACCATCATAGTGGAGGTGCCAAAATGAAACGAAACTTGAGACAAACATGTTTTAAATTTCCCGCCGCATAGAAATCTTAATACGACCGGTACTGAACTAGGCATTATTCCAGACTCCTTACCCCTTGGTTATCCCATATCCATCCCCTAGTTATGCTGTTTATAAAAGTATTTCTGTTTCTTAATAAGACAGTTGTGACTTAGAAAGTAACAATAAATTTTTCACACGTAAAATGTGCCATTAGAAATTTATTGTTAGCTTTACATTTATGATTCGCATTTAGCATTACATGAATTAATTATTAGTTTACGTTGATAGTTTGAAGTGTCAATCTGTCCATCAATATCGTCACCGGAGTAGAATATTTTGCTAACATACAAGTACAAAAAATAAAGGAGCTAATTAGGAGATAATTATATAGTAAGTTTTTGTAGATTTAGCCGAGACATAATTTTTTGTTGCAAAGTTAATTTGTAGTTTACATCTATACTAATATTATAAAGAGGTAAAATTTGTATGTTTGTATGTAGGGGGTAATCTTTGGAACCGCTGGTCGGATTGCTAAAATTCTTTCACTGATAGATACCTACAATGTTCCTGAGTGCTATAGGCTATAAAACATCACGTTACGATTAAATGGAGCCGAGCAGCGGGTGAAACCGCGCGAGAGTAGCTAGTTTTTAAATATTTTAGTGATTAATTGGAATGAAGTAAAATATCATCCAACAACTTATCCCGCTGAAAAAACTTACTCTTTACTAACTAAAAACACTCCGTTGCTTTTCCTGCCTCGGATCGGGTCCTTCACGGTACATTATTGTGTTCGATCCCGACCTCAAGCCTGAGGAGTTCATGCTTTAATTTCATTTACCTAATCAAGCTACGTGTGGGAGAGCCAAGCTTCAGCAAGAATAGGTCGGCTCGATCGGAGTGATACCACGGCCTCACAGACAAAACTGGCGTGAAACACAGAGTCGTGGTTCATCGTGTGAGTGAGGTTACTGGAGGCCCAATCCCTCTCCCTCCCCATTCCTTCTCAATCCTCATCCCCAAAAGTCACGCACGGACGTGCGCACTCATAACTCCTTTACTGTTGTGGGTGTCTATGGGCGGCGCCGATTGCTTACCATCAGGTAATCCGTATGCACGTTTACCGACTTATCTCATAAAAAATGGCGTACAAACATTTTGTCTAGCTTTCAACAAGTCAAGAATGAACAGTAAGTTTTGGAAACATAATAAAGCAATCTTCTATTTCGGAGAAGGATCCTTACTAACGTACTGCAAAAATTTGAACTATTTACAATTTTCTTTTGTGAACTTGACTTTGAACTCAAAGTAAGTAGCCTTCGTAAGTAACTACATGAAATAAATTTACATAATAAGGTGGGTACTTACACGTAAAATTACGTGATATGTAATACACGATAAATTCAGGCCGGCAGTCAATTATACAACGAAGGAAAGGAAAGCGTCGTGAAAATTTACATTTTCAATACATTTCGTTATTTGCGTGACTGCATACGTAATTTAATAATAGATATGAAGTTGTACAAATATTTTTAATTGGATTGTAATGTCATGGATTATTAATATTATTATTCGTTTTAATTATGTTCTCGTGGACTTACGCAAGTGCCAATGGCGGTATCCATTGCCTACTATAAGAACGGATATGCATACGGATCCCAATCTGTACGCTTGTCTAACCATCCCATAAAGAAAGTACTTCTTGACTTTTTTACCTTAAATCGGATACGAATATAATTATAGTGGCTAGGAGTTGTTACAGCCAGCTGTTTAAGTAATAAAATATTCATGAGAGCTTTTTTTTGAAAAGAGATATATTACGTCAAATGACCTCTCTCGCCTAGGGTATGGCTAGAGGGAGTGTCAGACTCTTACTGGCTAAAGCCTTGCTCCTTCTTGACTGAACTTAACTTTAGGTGACATCTTTTAGCCTAACGTAGCCACTAGTTAAGACTAAGGCTAATATATTATTTTCATAAAGTTTAATTTCATAAAAAAAACATTACATGGTTATCATACCTATATTTGTGTCGGTAATGTACGAGATATGTATCAGCTTGTGTCTTTAATATGACATTGGCGTTCAAAAGATGAATATTTACATTCAATAATGATCCATATGAATCATTGTATTTTCTGAAACAAAGCGTAATTTTGACAATAAAATGACGTACAACCGAATGATTGACATCGCAAAAGTAATGGATATGATCACGAGCTATAAGTAAGAAGTTACTGTGACGAGACATGGTATTTTTTCGACCGATCGAAAGTACTTGAAGTGTGGGAGAGCCATGCTTCGGCACGAATGGGTCGGCTCGACCGGAGTGATACCACGGCCTCACAGAAGACCGACGTGTTGTGTCGTGTTTCGCCGTGTGAGTGAGGTTACCGGAGGCCCAATCATTCCCCGCCCCCAAACCCTCCTCAATCCCTAATTCTCCAAATCCCTAATCCCTAAAAGGTCGGCAACGCACTCGTAAATCCTCCGTTGCGGGTGTCAATGGGCGGCGCTGATTGCTTACCATCAGGTAATCCGTCTGCTCGTTTGCTTTAGCTTGTAGTTTTTTTTATGTAATTGGTCGCAATTACATAAAAAAAAACTTTCTTAATAATATTTTTTTAATGTAAGTATTTTTATAATTATCTTTAAAATAATAAATATTATTTTTAAATGGGTTGTAGATAAACCTCTTTGAATATAAAAGGAAATTGTCTTTACGAGTAGGCTCGTTTTGTCGGCACATAGGGAAGTTGCAGTAATATTATCGTAACCTCCGTAAGTTAACGAGTTTTTAAATACGCCAGACTTTAAATAAAGTCTCGATATTCATCGAAATTGTAAGGTATAAAGATTAGCGATATATACAGAATCAATTGTGAGTAACTATGCGCCCGTGAACATGTGGAAATTTTTATCCTCGAAATTTGAAATTGGAAAGAGAGCTAAAGATATCCGTTTATACTTTAAACATAGACAATATTTACTTATTACTACTAGACAGAGTTTCAGAATTTCATTTTGTGTATGAATAAATAATATCAAATCTTTTAGTAACATGATGTCAATAAATCGAATTATGTGTACTCCAGACATTTTCTACCAGCCGGGGTTGGGGGGTAAGCGCAATGAGGCACCGCGGACTCGGCCCAGAGCAGAAGAAGGAACAGGGGGGTTTTTAGTAAGAGTCTGACATTCCCTCTCGCCCGGCCCTGGGCGGGAGAAGTCATTTGATGATTTTCCCCTCACAAAAAAAGACATCTTCTATGAATAGTTTACTTTGTCAGTTAACTAAGTCTCAATTTACTGAGTTTACTACTCTAATGAGCTATCATTTACGGCATTCAGTGAATCAGCATAATAAAAAGTATGTCCCCACTTTACTAACATCTCATCTCATGTATAGTTTTTTATAACCGGTGTCCATTGAAAAACAGCTATCTTCCACGCGAGGGGTGCCCAAGTGAAATTCCCGCTTTGCGTGCGCACTTTCCATCTCGACATTTCGCCATTTTTTCTTCACAACCCGCCTGCACGCGGAACGCTAGTCTCGAACTCGACTTATAAAGCGTTCTCTTAAAACCAAGCACATTAATTTATAATTTAATTCCGTACTAATAAAGTTGACAATTGTTTGTCGATCAATCGCAATTAGTTTGTCATTAATTCTTGTTATTGGTTTGCGTTGAATAAACGAAGAACATGAGATGTTATGCACGAACGAATAGGGAATCCGACTGCTTTCCTTGTTGCTTTGTTATTTATTATGATGTTATTAATTTTTCAGCAACTTGTGATTTATGTTTAAATAAAATGTTTTCCTGTATGAAAATTGGTTTCGGAAAAATACAAGCTGACGAAATAAGTGCTTCAAGCATTTATTTTAGGTGTAGGTCGTGTTGGTGAAGTAGACGTTTAGGCGATTCAAAAGTTAATATTAATTCATATTTCGTTAAGATGAGGGAATCGGCATATATCACTTTCTCGAGATGCACTGGCGATTTCAGATTAAATCATATTTCAATCTCGCTTTCTTCACGATGTTTTTCTCCACCGCTCAACAGTTTTAAATATACTGAGAAATTACTTGTAGTCGGGTATGAATCCGTTTAGTCGTTTTCGATTAGTGGGCCTATACCTTCAGACAATTATGACCATATTATTAAAACAAGTACCTAAAGTTACCAAGAGCCATTGACCACTACAGATGGGGCCTAATAGGGTTGATGTTCTGCCAGGGTTGCGAGTACAAGCGCAACAATATCGTGGCCCTGATTTTACTTAGTAAAAGTGACACTCCAAGTCTTAGGTAAGATAAGGCATAGGCTAATTTTCCACTCTTCAAAGCATCTACAAGTACATTAAAACTATCCAAAACGCTGCGCTAGACAGTGTAACAGAGCCCCTTAGAGTTCTCATGATCTGTGTGCGCAGTGCGCGGCTGTGAGCGATAATAGTTTGCACAACGCACTCCGGTATTGTTCGGACGCTATCTCGCACAGAATCTACGTTAATTATCGTCATATTGCTATTAACGCGCCCTCCTATTATATCGCTCGAACTAATGAAGAATTG